TCTTCTTGCTCGACCGCACTGTCCTGCGTTATCCGTAACAATTGCACCGACGTTCCAGCCTCTTTCTTGCATTTCCACCAAAACATCTTCCGTTTGTCGAGCCAGTGCTATAGCGTGGTGCTCCGATCCAGTAGGTAAAAGTGCATAAGTCATAACAACTCCATATAACGAAAGTTGACAGCCCAAAAGGTGTTGTTTCGCAATATTTTGCCAAATATCCGAAAGAAAGTTTACACGTCCACTCGAAACTTGCTGAACGGCAGCCAGCTCATTGCATTGCTGTCCGTCATAGAGTGCCGCATACTTATCTAGGATTGTGGAGCCCAAAACTTGTCGACGAGGCAACGCACCCTCACACTTTGCATTTAGCCACTTAAAGAGCCTGCGAGCGGAAGGCAGCTCGATAAAGGAGTCCGCGAGCAAAGCCTCCGCTTGAAACTCCAAAATCAGTCTCCATAGTGTCTGTCGTTCTGCTGCCGTAAAATATTCACGTTGTTTAAGCTTTTTGTTTGGCATTGCGTCCACGCCATCATCTCCACGCCTGCCCTCTGCTAATTCACCATCGTAGAGCGGACACTGACCCAGATGCTTTAGCCAATAGTCCTTGCGCCCACGTATGCGTTCCGGTGTAGGTCCAAGGCGCTCGGTGTACTCTGCAAGACACAGATTGCATACAGTTTAGTACAGCGAAGAATTTGCCATTTCGTTCGTACGCGTAAAGTGCTCACTGAGGGAGCTTTGAGGGCGTCCTGCCTTTGGTTTCGGTCGCACAACGTGCATCTTGGTCTGGTGATGAAACTACGAATGGTAGGCACTAGAGAGGGAGTGTGCGATTTCCCCCGAGGGACTCGAAGGTGGCAGATCAAACTTCAGCTCACAATCTGTTTTTTACAATTTTACGTAAACGCTCGTTAATATTGTAATAATTTACTTTAGAAATATATTTTTACTTAATAATGTAGAAACCTTTTTACCAAATTGATCAACACTGATGCGTCAGCCCCAGTTATTGTCTATGTCATGCTCCATGTAATGTCCATGCTTGTAAAATATTTTCTTTCGGTAATTTTTAACAAATCCAGTCGTTGAGTGCATTTTTTGTTCAACTCTCATCCGTGTATTGCCCAGGATGCCCTATCCATGTATCCATGTAATGGGTACCGGTACAAATCTTTAACCGGTAATTTTACCAATAACACCAGCCTTTCATTTGCTTTTTTAAACACAAACTCCCCCCCTTCGAGCGCTGCCACCACCGCCGCTTCGTTACCTGCTAGCCGCCGTAGCCTACGTCACGAGATCAACCGTTGCTGCCTGCGCCGGCCATGTCGCTGACTCTGTCCGCTTCCGCGACGCCTGAAGTGCGGTATCTTGCTGTTTGTGGTCTCTGTGAGCGTGTTTCTAACCGTGCGTTATCTACTTGTATATACAGGGTGGATCGTCCGACTCTTCTTCGAATATCAACGCTACGGCTTGTGCAGCCTCCTGCACGGCTGTAAGCTCGGATGACGCCCCATCCCTAACACGGACGATTTCAAGCGCCCATGTATTGTCCAGGTAATAGATTCTCCCTCGCTTGTGAAGCGCCTCGCAGACGTGATGTATCCCAGCTGGTCGGCGTGGAATGAGCAATTGAAGACGTACTCGGTAAAGACCCGCCAGGTCATCCGCATTCAGTCAACGCTTAGTTGCGTATTGAGAAACAAGCGAAACAAGCGGCTAGGTCAAACATCGGTAGCAAAGCACGGAATGGACTTTCCGTACGTACCCGAAAGGTGGGGTGCTTACCAACGCACATACATCTACACGCATGGAAGCCAGCGAAGGACAGAAGCAGCGGATTGCAAACCAAGCACTTCGTCCGAGGATGCGGTTGTCCATTTCGATTTGTGGTGCAGCTCGTGCAAATTAACGGCGTGTAGTGCCTTCGTGTGAAGAACGGTGTGTACCAGCACAACCATGCGGTAAGCGCAGCTCAGTTTAAGACGTACGCAGAGAAACGTACGTTGGACGACACGGACACGAAGGATGCTATAAACAGCATGGTGATGTACGGTAGAAAGCGCGCTCGCATCTACGAATATCTTCTAAGGGAGAGGCGAGAACCTCGTCTAGAAGGATGTAGACAACACCATGCAACGGGTGAAAGAGGAGATGAGAGAAGGGTTGGGTGATGATGACGCTTGCGCCGCAACTCTCGCAGAATTGGCAGCTACTGACGGCAACGTAGTCTCGGTGGACGAAACTGATGTGGGGCACTCTGGCGTGCTCAGTACGACTTCAAGACAAATGCGGGACATGGTTACTAGGTTTCCAGAGCTTTTGCTTGTGGACTGTACCCACAAAGCGAATCGGTAAGTCCCCCCATGAATTCCATGAATTGTGCAATTATTTGTCCATGTATAGTCCGTGTTTATCTTAATCTTCTGCTCGTGTATTGTCCAATTCGTGTCCTGTTCATTAGTTACAACTACCTTCATTATGATAGACGACAACGGGCGTGGGCAGCCTGTACAACAGTCGTTGCTCGAACGAAACGCCTATTGGCAGATGTTCCGTGCGCTGGATCATCTATTTCGGATTAACGATAAGATTGGCGACAAGGTCCAAGTTATAATGGTCGACAAAGATCTGAATGAGATCCGCGTGTTGCGTAGGTACTTCCCTAAGTCGCGCGTGTTGATTTGCGTCTTTCACGTCATCAAATATCTCCGCACGGCGTCCAGGAAACCGGAATATAGTAAACTTGCGTCGGACGATCACGACGCCATCGACGCATTAGTCCACAGCATGGTATATGCCTTGAGTTCAGAGATCTACGAGACCAATTGGACCTCCATGAGGGCACTTTGCACTAGGACTGGATATATGGCATTTTACGACTACATGGACGAGAACTGGAGCACTTGTACAGAGATGTGGGTCATGGTTCAACGCTCACGGCTGGAACATTTGCGCGTCCACACGAACAACCGTTTGGATAATTGGTTTGGCCATTTTATGGACGCCGTAAACTAAAACATGACTATGCCTGACACTGTAAAGGCCCTTGTGGGTGCTGATTACAGGACTTCCAGTGAATACGTGCTCAATAAGACTAGGATCGGGCTACGTTAATTACAAGGCGCGTTCCAGGCTATATGCAGTGAGCTAGCCGATATCTCCGACAAAGACGAATACCGTGAGCATTTGGACTTCGTCGTCCAACAATGGAGGAACATTAGGCAGCGCAAACGTGTAAAGGGTTGAAAGAACAAATCTCCCAATCACGAAAGAAGAAACATAAATAAATGAAGTGCCTTCTCCAGTGACAACCAGCCGAAATCGAACCGGGAGCATGCCCAAACTGGAGCAGCTTGCGCTTGGACTCACTCCTGGTGACAATGAAGAGAAAAATACCGATATTGGTTTGCGCATCCGTCTGAACCCCAAGGCCGCGAAGCCTGGTAGGCCCCCTTTGGACAGAAAGGGGAGAGAAGCAGACGACAAGAAGAAACGGGCGCTGGGTAATGAGTCAGAAGCCCATAGACGACGTCTTGGAGAGGTGACGTTGATACAACTTGCGCGCTGTCTTCAACACGAGAAGCCGCCTCTTCAAGACACTCTAAGTCGTGTTCAGCCCCTCCAAACCAAGTACAAGAACGCGGGTAGCACGAAACCCAAGTACACTCGGGAGAGTGAGCCTGTGCCGAATGAAAACGCGTTCTACTTACTCCAACCCAAATTGTTGGACAAGTGTGTTGCCGTGCTGCGCGTGAGTAACACCAAGGAAACATCCATCAACGTATTCATCCAGAGTCAAACTACACAGGAAGACGAAGAAATATCTACAATACCTGGACAAAACATGGGCAGTTATGAACAAAACCCAAAGATCGACTGTGTCTACATCGTGGGTATCGGAACATTTTCACGCGAACAGATCGAGGCCATGGCATACTTAGCAAACGTGAAGCGTTCCTTTGAAGAATCAGTGACGTTTACCAAGTGGTTAGCACAGGATGCAGTCAGCGCCATACCAGTGGCACAACAATCGACGCTTCAGAGCATGGCAGTCACCATTGCGCGCGCCTACCCCAAGATACCATCTCCATTGACGGTAACGATTACCACTACGCGATGCTATACCGTCTCAAGCCGCCTCAATGGGCTAATGATGCGCTGATTTTGGCTTTTTGCGCGAGATTGTACAGGACGGGTACCGGCGTTCGCGTCGTCGGGGTCGAGGCAGCCTCTGCGTCAAAGAAAAAGAAAAATATGAGCGAGAAAATGAAGACAAAGGTCCAGTAGCTACTCACTGAAGCGGATGTACTGCTCATTCCTGTAAACTTTGGGAACATGCATTGGTATGCAATTATCGTGGATGGCAAGCAGAACAAGGTCCTGTACTATGACTCAATGAGCCTGAGGACGTACAAGGACGTACTGGACCGACTGTCGTGGGATCTGGCTACTACACTCAGCGATGGCTTCAAAGCTGTGTCCGTCAACGCACCAATCCAGACAGGCGGATACAACTGCGGATTCTACGTAATGCTGAGGTTTTGGCGATATGTAGACAAGAGTGTGTCACTGGACGTAACTCTGATTGGTCTAACGCTGTTACGCTTTCACATCCTTCACTTCGTGCTTCACGGAAGCAAAGCCATAATACAGTTCAATACAATCTCATTTCCATTGAAATTGATATCGATCCGTCTAATGCTCGTGCGTAAGGCTGACCTTCTGACTTCTGTATTTCTACGAGAGATGCCAGAGGGCTTCCGTCTGCTTAGGTCTAACAGCTTCAATTCATTATGGATTTAAAAAACCTGGTAATTAGTTTATTTCGACACATGGACATTTCTTGGGGCATGACACGAACAATAACCGGAGTCGACGCATGGACTATTGCATCGGCCTAAAATAAAAGGATGCTCAAGTTTTAACGTTTCACAAATACATTTTTAATGGTAACATCCCACAGAGGAGAGTTCTTCTTTTACTCTAGTGCACCCATCTTACTGAACCGAGGCACCAGGAGTCTGCACAGCCTTGTACGCTTGGTCAATATCTTTAAAGCTTGGGTCGATGTCGTCTCCATTCGGGATTCCTTCCCTGTCCAGCGCACTTAGCTCCTCCAGCGTCATGTTCTTCGTCTCGGGCACCCAGAACGAGAACAGCAGACCGAAGAAACAGCAGGCAGCGAAGATGTACAGCACACCCTTGAAACCAAACGAGCCCTTCGCAATCACCGAGAAACATTGTGCAGCAATGATAGCTCCGACCTTGCCCGATGCAGCGGAGATACCGTGACCAGTCGAGCTTGAGCTCGTTGAAGAAGATGGCCATGAAGAGGAACAGCAACGTCAGCAACGTGAAACCCATGTACTGAATGGGTTTACGGCCCCACTTGTCAACGAAATACACCGTAAACCAGTAACCAGGCACGGTGCCGGCCAAGTTGATAATGGCCGTGTCGACCGAGCGGTTCCACAGATCGTCGTAGATTTTCTGGTTCCCCGTGGACGAAGGACTGCCGTAGCCGATGATTTCAAGCACCACCGACGTGTTGAGCGACGTACCGTAGTAGCCGATGTCGAGGAAGAACCAGGCAGCCGCACAACCGATGAGCACCTTGAGATTGGCCCACTTGTTGAAGTAAGTTTTGAACGAGTAGGAGAAGTTCTCGAAGAATCCAGTCTTGCCGTCGCCCTTGACGTACATGTCAGTCGTGATCTTGTCTGCCTGGAGGAACTGGGTGGCAGCGCGTGCACCCTCCTCCGTGTCTCCGAGCACGTCCATTGCATAACGCGGTGTTTCCGGGATCTTAAGACGCCAGTAAACGGCGGCCAAAGCGGGAAAGGCGCCGAACGCGGCCAATGTGCGCCAACAGTAGCCGAGTGACGAGGCGCCGTTCTCGAGGATACTGTCCTTGGCGGCGGCAAGCACGATGATGGCCATGACGGCACCGGCGATGATACCGAAACCCTGCATGGCGAAGACGGTGGCGATCATGGTGCCGCGGCGTTTGGCCGACGCGAACTCGCTGGTAATGACGGCCAAGACGGGATAGTCTCCGCCGATGCCCACGCCCAGCACGAAGCGCCAGATAGCAAGCAAGATGAGCAGGTTGTTGGCATCACCGTTGACTGGCCAGGAAGCGAACGCGCACAGCAGCGCGCCACCGATGAGTACCATGAGCTCGATGCCGTAGATACGTTTGCGACCGAGGATGTCGCCGAGAATGGCGAAGGAGATCTGGCCCACGGCGTTACCATAGGAGGAGGCGGCCTTGACCCATCCGTCGGCGCGTGAGGTGAGGCTGGACTTGTCGAAGTATTCATAGGCAATCATGGGCACCATGAGACCGATGACGAAGTTGTCGTACGAGTCAACGAAGAAACCGGAACCGGCCACAAGGATGGCTTTGACGTGGGATTTGGAGAACTTGGCATTGTCGAGTGCGGTGAGCGCGTCAAGGCGTTGCTTGTCGGCCGGGGCTTCAGTCATTTCGGCCCTCTTGTCTACCTAGCGACTTGTCAGTCATTTCGGCCCTCTTGTCAGTCATTTCGGCCCTCTTGTCTACTTGGGAAGGTAGCGCGAATTGAAGAATGAAAGCGATTTTGTGTGAACGAATGGATCGGGTTCTCTTGTTCTGTAGTTGACCCCGTCACACTGAGTGGGGGCGCCTCTGAGGCAGGCGTGTGTAGCACACATATCCAAGGAGAGTCAGGTGACGAAGTTAGTTGGGCTCATCGCCGCGCACAGAAGCTATATCGCCGAAAGTGCACCCACGCGGATTCGGGAGCTCGCGAGCTCCTAGTTTTGTGACGTACTGTGCCCCGTGGGCGAATCTTCAATCTTCATCGCGTTTCCTACTGGTCACATGAGTATCATTGCCTTGTAGTGAGATTCACGACGTGATTGAAACGACAGCAACATACCGTCAAGGTCCTCTGACATGCTCTCTGCATGACACCACGAATCTTGTAGCAGTGGGACGGCGAGTTCTTAACCCTAGACTGGCATTGGACTTGCACCACGTTGATTGTCAATCACTGTGTCGCTACTGTACTGCTTCATGCAAGCCACTCTGATTTTGACCCAGCGTCGTTGTCAACCTGGGATTAATTTTTAACGTGGATTATAAAAGCTTACCTTCCGTTGAAAATATAACTTACGACTGGGTAAATCATCAGTGCATGTACAATTCTGGCTTTATTGCTGAGAAATGCGGGAAAAATGTAGCATACTGGGCCAGTATTACTGGCAGGTTACGGCTCCACGATGCCCTTTTCATTCTTCAACGAAAAAGTTTAGCCGAAAAGTAAGTCGTCGCTAAGCTACGAGCTGTTAGAATAACCGTATTAAGAAAGAGGACATTTTTTTAAATATGGTCCATGGTCTGCAACTTGCAGAGTCAAGGTTTTTATTAATAATACTCATAAGATTTGCCCAGTCCACGCACCGCAAGTTATCTTTTCAAAGGAAGGTAAGCTTTTTTAATCCACGTTAAAAATTAATCCCAGCATGGCTTTCTTAATCGCTCCACGCTGTCGAGCATTGACAACGACGCTCGGTCAAAATCAGAGTGGCTTGCATGAAGCAGTACAGTAGCGACACAGTGATTGACAATCAAGTCCAATGCCAGTCTAGGGTTAAGAACTCGCCGTCCCACTGCTACAAGAATCGTGGTGTCATGCAGAGAGCATGTCAGAGGACCTTGACGGTATGTTGCTGTCGTTTCAATCACGTCGTGAATCTCACTACAAGGCAATGATACTCATGTGACCAGTAGGAAACGCGATGAAGATTGAAGATTCGCCCACGGGGCACAGTATGTAACAAAACTAGGAGCTCGCGAGCTCCCGAATCCGCGTGGGTGCACTTTCGGCGATATAGCTTCTGTGCGCGGCGATGAGCCCAACAAACTTTGTCACCTGACTCTCCTTGAATATGTGTGCTACGCACGCCTGCCTCAGAGGCGCCCCCACTCAGTGTGACGGGGTCAACTACAGAACAAGAGAACCCGATCCATTCGTTCACACAAAATCGCTTTCATTCTCCAATTCGCGCTACCTTCCCAAGTAGACAAGAGGGCCGAAATGACTGACAAAAGGGCCGAAATGACTGAAAAGAGGGCCGAAATGACTGAAGCCCCGGCCGACAAGCAACGCCTTCACCGCCCCCATCATGCAATACGTACTTCGACCTGCTTGGAGCGGTACAAGGTCTGCAGCGGGGCTGCCTTTGCTTTAGCGTCCGAGGAAGACGTTCGACTCAAAGAGTCACTAATACTAAGTTCCTTATCCAAAGGAACTTACAGCCCACGACCAGGGCTCAAAGTTAATACCTTAACTTTTATGCTTCAAAACCAGAAGTGTTTTATTTACTATTACTGTGGCGAAGCCGCCTAGAGGTAAATGTATCTGTTTAAGTATCTAGCATAGTTAAACCTAATCAAATGCAAAACGTGTGGCTTTCAGCCAACGTACTGAGAGACCTTGTTAGCTTTCCAACTTATGTACTCAGAGTCTGATAGCTCTTCGGGTACTCCGTACCCCTGTATGCTCCACACCATGTAACCCCGTTACACTCTCCCCCATTAAGATGAGAATATTTCGTTCTCGAAACTTCCTCAGCGAGGACACGTCTTATCAAGACGGCGGAGGTTACGACACCTCACTCCAGCGCTGTACAGCTCCGCGAGCTAACAAACTTCTACGCATCGTTGATGCCCAATTTCTCGTCGTCGGCTCACGACCCAATGTTCCAAGCGCACCGCACATCTTGTTCTCAAGCGGTCTCAGATCTACGATCGCGCTCTGGGCCTACTCCAAGAGCTGCAAACAGCTGAGAGCTCTGCTCTTGGCTCATCCGAGTCGTCGACAACTGCTCAGCGGTTAAACACTTGCTTCACAAGCGATAGGTTGGTGGTTCGATCCCACCAGGCCGTCGCCCTCTCGTTCCATGAACGATTGTCCACGCTTGGACAAGCTTAAGAGCAACATCTTTTTAGCTCAGTGGTCGAGCTTTGGCTTCGGAAGCCACAGGTCGGTAGTTCGACTCCACCCGGGCGCAGCTCTCTCATACTATGAGTAGTCCATACTCGGACAAACTTACGGGCATCACCCTTATAGATCAATGGTAGAGCTCCGGCCTGGAAAGCCAAAGGCCAGTGGTTCGATTCCCGTCCGGGCCACACCACTTTCGCTGTTACAGCGCATCCACATCTGGATTATGCTTATCGTGTATGTTGTTTCAAAACAACTATGCGTCTACCGTGACGCTTGTGCCTGAACCTTGTTCAGCACAGCACGAAGCACCTGCTTCCTTCGGGACCACGCCCCCAACACCACGAGGTCTCCTCCTGATCCCGCTGCGAGCACCGCTCATACGTAGGAGCTGGCTGCTGCTACCACTGGTTAGATCCTGAGCTCAACAACTGACCTGTTCGCTCCCCACTCTAGTGGGAGGCGTCCAGCGCCTGGCGACTCTGTCGCACGCCATGGTGGCACTTCGGTACAGGATGGGCCCGGTCGTAAGCGTCCACCACGTCGGGGCAATCTTGCCGGAGGATAGCCTCAAACCCCATGATTTATGTGAGTGAGGGTAACCCCTCTACCTCACAAAGTACTGGGTACGTCCCTGACGTCTACGCCGCGCCACAAGGCGTTCCACGTGATAGTGAAGATCGCCATGCTCATCGGGCAGAGCGGGAGGAGGCCTTGCCTCAGCTAAGCTCTCACGGAGAGAGTTAGCACTTGCCGGAACGGCGCATACGACGCCGGCGTCTACGACGCGAACGTTCACGTTCACCGCCCATCGGTCGATCTCGAAGAGCTGATCCACCTTGGGGATAGGTCACAGCCACCACAGGTGACTCACAACCAGGTCTCGGACCTTAAGCGTCCAGTCGCTCGGCTGAACGTTCAGCTTGCCTTGCTCCTGCATCTCGAGCACTTCGCTCCGCGACCTGTGGCTCTGCCACCTGCTGTCGTCCAGCTCTACCACCTGCTGCCCTGCAGCTGTCCGTGGTCCAGCCACCGTTGGCGCTAACGCCTCCGCGCTCACCTGAGCAGGGACTTGATATGGCTTGAGCAAGCCAACATAGAAGATCAGATGCGTGCGCATCGTCTTCGGGAGGTTGAGCGTATACGCTAGGCCCTTCCTGGCCACGACCTTGAACGGTCCTATGAACCGAGGTCTCAACTTCGTCTTGAAGACTGCAGACACTGCATGAGTAGGTAGGTTTTTAGCGTTTAACAAAACTTGGTCACCGACCTCAAACCTCTCAACATTGCTTCTGTCCTTGGCGTCTGCATGTTCCTTCTGCGTTTATTGGCTTTCAGCCATAGCGTCGCGTACTTGACGCATTTCGCTTTGTCTCAAAGAGACAAAGTCATCGACTTGCTTGCGAACCGCAACAGGGATGACATCAGCTAGCCGCTCGGTTATCCCTCACCCATTAAGCCCTGAGCCACTGCGTGGCGGTGTCAGTGGAACGCGAGGGTTCACCAAGACGTTCCGGAGTGTATCCTGTCAAAGCGTGCACTGCATTATTTAATGCGAGCTCAACGAGTGGGTGCATCTGGATCCAGCGTTCTGGCGCCTCCGCGCAGACGCTTTAAGGGATATCCTCAACAACGCGGTTAACGCGTTCGGTTTGATCGTCGGTCTGCAGATGGCCCGCTGTATACATATCCAAACGAGTGCCGAGCACTCTGAAGAGGGACGTCCAAACCTTCGTGGTGAAGCGCGAGTCTCGATCCGAGCCAATTGCCTCAGGCAAGCCATGTTGGCGAAAGACTCGGTCTAAAAACAGCAAAGCTGTATCCTCACCATCAATGGTGTCCGACACCGCCGCTAAATGATTCATCTTGCTCAATCGGTCTACAAAGTCCACAATACCCGTGTTTCCCGCCTTATCCTTGAGAAGGTCAAACACAAAGTCCATACTAATGGACTGCCAACATCCCTTGGGGACGGGCAAATTCACCAGCGGCTGCCGTGCTCGGCGCGGACTTCGTCCGTTGACACGTCTCACGCGTGCATACATTGGTGCCGACCCACTCATACGTCTTGGGCCACCGGTACATCGATCTCACCGAGCCATGGGTCCTATCCCGACCTAAGCGCTCGCCCACGGGCGTATAATGAACCTCATAGAGGATTCAATACTTTAGACCCTCATCATGAGGAACGACTACACGAGGGTTATCTTCAGCGTCGGTGCTGTAATACAGCAGGCCGCCATCGAGCGAGTTTTGATGCAGCCTCGCGCGTAGGCGCCCAGACAATTCCTTGTCAGAGTCTTTAAACGCTTCGCTTCTAAGAGCCCGTATGTAATGGGCCCAACTCCAATTACATAAGTAGGTAGATATTTCCTTAGTTATTACATAAGTTGGTAATGTGGCACACGGGTAGCGCGTGCCAAGGTGTCATCATTGGATTGGTTGATAGTGAGGAGCCAGACTCACCTATTGACCAATCAGGTCTAGATATGTGTT